GCTCAATAGTTTGCCCTTTGGTTGTCCAATAACCGTCGTGAGTGTCCTTTCCCAAGAGTTGAGCCCCACCGAGTCACCGCAACCGTTATCCCTGGAGTACGACCCACTCCCCCAAAGGCGCATACTACCAGCAGTCGCCTTTGACCAAAACCGACTAAACCCAACCCCCTCCCGACCGACCCCAATCCATCCCATCACCCCACCCACCAAACACCCATTAAAAAGTGCACCCCCGTCGGTCATCCTCGAATCCCATCCACACCCACCACCCCACCACCGCTTCCCCCCAACCAGCTACCCATTCCACCCAACATCCCCCCCTCTTCACTGCCCCCATTCCCAATCATCCCCCTAACTTACCGGCCACCCCCCTCCACCCAAGCGCCCCACCCCCCAACACCCACGTCAACCACCACTGTTGGGCCCTCCGTGCACCGAACCATCCTTCCATAATCACCGGTATATTTGAGCCCATTGCTGATGTGAGTTTGAATACTGTGGACCTGTTGACAATATTGCTGACATCTTTCTCAGTCGGTACCCGAGTCCCAACGCGGCAATCAATATGGGGTCCTCACCACACCTAGCTTCTTCCAATGCGCGGGTTACTTGGAAGAGGAAGCAACCGACTTCGAGGTAAATTTGATTACAAACACAGCATTGAGTAACGTCCTGGAGGCTGGAGCATTATACATGATTAGCGGTAGGCTTATAGTGCTCAATGATGGATCAACACCCACCCTCACCTATAATCACGACACCATTGTCCCGATCCCACGCCACGGCACAGCTGCGCCAGAAACGACCAACAGGACTTCCGCTGTTGGACTTGGCCATGTGGTGGAAAGAGCAGAAGTTATGCCAGGCGACAGCGAGAATAGCCCTCGCCTGGAAGTGATAGTAGCACACAACGACTGGGATGCTATTGTAAGTTACACCAGTACACCCCAATAGATAATTATTGACTCCAATCTTAGGCCAGGACTCACCGGCGATTCCTTGTGAAATACATAATCCCCGGCTCGAAGAACTTCATCAAGACTCACACTTTGTATCAAGTCGGCCGAGAGGTTCAACTCCTCAGCTATCTGGTTGATTTCGAGTTAGAACGCAACATGGCTGTATTTGGAGTGAGTCTCAGTAATGCTTAACATCTACCCAAACTAACCCACATTTCAGGTCCATTCTGTCAGCTTGACCTCCGGACACCAAATGGGCCGGTCATCAGCTGTTGCGTCGTCGTCAGGTAACAGGACCTCTCGAAATGGCCGCAAGTTGTAAGTTGGCATTGTCATATAGCGATAGATGCGTACTGACAATCACCCAGTGTGAAGTTCGGATCACAACCCTCCCATGCTGCAGGTGAACAAACTCATGGCAACCCCGACGAAGGGGGCCCCTCGGTACCATCAAGTTCTGACAGAAACAAAGGCAAAGGCAAAGCATTAGCTGACGTTGACGGTGAGGAAAACACCTCTGAAGAAGATACCACCATCAAGGCTCAGTCATCCCCCCAAGTCGCGCCTCCCGCCAGCACCCAAAGAGGCCGCCCCCGCATGAATATTCTCAAGGATGCTGCCAAACGGATGAAAAGAGCCTAGGGCACTTCATTGGAACTGATTGGAGTCTTCTGCATCCTATCCGTTGTCCTCCCGTCCTCATGTATTTCAATTTGCACGCTCCATAACCTGTGTATTACGCTCGCAGAGCTGGACCTAGATGTTTAGACCAAATGCGGATTAGTAATTATGCTTGTAATAGGTGTCAATTGTGTCCCAAGATGTTTACCTTTTTACCATCCAATTTCGAATTGGACATGCTGTCAACAATCCATATCTTTGTTAGGTGGAAGTGGAACAATGAACTGAAGTCGCGATTTGAGGGGTAGACCGTTGCCCAAATAAGCTCCCATCTCAAGTCCAAGACTTCCAGGACACATGATTTCTTCAAGCCGTCACCTGCGTTAAAGTCACCCCCATCACGATCAGGGCCTAAATATCGCTCAAGTTCATTCGGGCCGATTTGGTCGATCGTGCCTGCAGCCGTCCTTCCAGTTTTGAAGAAATTCATCTTCGACAGTACGTTGATATGTGGAATCTCCAGGTTGATCATCGCCGACGTTGCTGATAGAACTCCAGAGAAAAACTTCGGTCTGCTATAAAATTTGATCCGAGGAGATGGGTCTTTTTCCCAGATTCTGGTGATTGTTATAATTGCAAAATCAGCTTTCATAGCTCTTGTGAATTCAGATATAAATAATTGATCGCACATGAGGCAGCAGAGAAACTGATGGCTTTACTTCATTCAACTGGACACCTGTTGGACGAACAGTCAATTAGATTGCATGATCAGTTGGAGAGTGAGACCAATATTCTTACCAACAGAAGGTGCACCACTATTGGGCCGATAGCTGCCAACGCCAGTGAAAGGATCCAAAGCTTGGACAATATTTTGCATTATGTTGAGGTGTGTATAAAGCTATATTTCACCAGGACAATCGATAATCAAGAAGTCATCATCACATGAATTTAGGTTTTCTTGTCGCCAGTCCAAATTTTTAAGCGAGTATCTAAATTTAAAAAGAAAGTCGACGTCAACTTGGTTCTTATTTTAAGATCGATCAAGAGATTGACTCAATTCGAAACACTAAACAAGGTCTCCATTTGGACCTAATTCCAGTTCTTCCATCAACTCTTCAAGTCTGTTCAAATCCCTAACATCATGCAAGAAATGTGATCAAGTCATGTTCAGAGAGGGACTCGTTTTTGGAATAGGGAATGAAAATGACACTAACCTAACTTTTGTCTTTTTCAAAAATTGAATCAAATGGAGTTTGATAGACGTAAGACTGGTCCGAGCCGTTTGACATCATGTTGTGTTGGAACTTACAACCAAAATCACTTGAAGCTGCTTCGATTTCAGTGGAATATCGATTTAGCCGTAGCCACCAAAAAAATTTGCCTAACCCCCCGCTTCGTAGCAGGCATGTTGCATGACCGACTCCATCCATTCCCGCACGATAACCTGATCCAAACACTACAAAGCCGGCCATAACGACTACCCAGTATCTCTCTTCGGATCGATTGTCAGGCAAATTGCTGGTTGATATCCCAACCAGGGTATCGACCCCTCTCTGGTGAGTCGCTAGCCGTGCGCCTTGATCTCGACGGGTAAACAATTCCGTCCGGGCAATCATTCACGGCTGCACGCTGATCTGATCTCAACATTGTCCAGATACTGATTAAAGACCCTTCAACACCTCTTGTCGACCCAATCGTCAGCCGACGTTTCGATTCATACCACAAGCAGGTGCCGAACACTCCGCGGTTATCGGCTCTCCGTACACCTCGACCTCATCGGGTCAACAATTCGGTCAGGGCGTTTTGCCAAAGTTAGCCTTCATTAAGTTCGATCAGAAAGTTCAATTCGTCTAACTCCGATTGGTGGCGAAGTCAACGAAAGTACAACTGACCATATGCATGATATTCTTAGACTACACTTCCGGTAAGACCGCTCCGACTCGCCTTTGTTTTTAACCTCCCAGCAAGATCAACCGTGAAAGAGTCGTGATCGTGCACTTGTTGTTGGCTCAGCTTTGGATTGACCTGTAACTCCCACTATGTGAGTCATCATATTGACCGATAGACGCACAAATAACTAACCCGTATGCTTTGGGGACCTAATAGTTCCGATTTGATCGCCCAATCCGACGGTGCAAAGCGCTACAGCAACGTTGCCTGGCCCACTAAACCTTCAACCCTCAATCTGAGTGAGCACATCCTCGACCGGCCAAGTCCAACGTCACACGCTGCTTAGCTCAGATCGGCGGCCGAGTTAATCTCATAACCTCAGATTGGGTAAGTTGATTTGGATGAGGGGATCTTATCATGACTCATGCAAAACAATGCTTAACTCCAGCTCGATTCTATCCAAAAGTTTCCTACTTTGGAGTCTTATCTGGCAAGGAGTTCTCCTGACTTCACCATTGAGCGAGTCTGGCTACAAGTAATATCGTGAGTCAAGCGATCGACCCCACTATACCAACAACAAACTCAAGTGAACTACTTAGATAGAATTCCACCGAGATCACTTTTCAGGGTCCACTATCGATCACCGCCAGATTACAGACCAACTAAAAATCGCTTTGCCTTCTTTTATCTCCAGTCGTTTTCAGTTCATCGACACCACTCTGATTGTCAGTTTCTGTGTGATAAGTTAGCTTGTGATTCCAATCTGTTTTAGAACTTGGTTGGGACACATGATAATGGAAGCACAGAAACCCAAAATCAGGAACATCTTGAAATCAAATGCACGGCGGCGACGACGAGCGGCGGACAGGCAATCTGAAGTCGCCTTAGAGATTGATGCCTCATCATACGTGGGTGAACGGGTGATATGGTCCCGACGGCGATTCAAAAAGTGTCACTTGTATCCGGCTATCCGAGATGAAAGGAAGCGAACACCCCGTCATCCGACTGTACACAAGGTTGAAAACGCCCAGAAAACGGCTGCTGGATTCCGCAAGTTCACTCACGGGAAGGTTATCATCCGAGACACCACACACGGTGGTGAAGTGATTGCTGTCATTGAATTTCTTCCACTGGACAAACTCTCATCTCAGCAAAAGGATGAAATCAATTTCGTCACAACTTACCTCCACCAGATGAAACAATTTGTCCATCCAGTCGGCCCATCGCGTACCTGGGGAGGCCGAATGTGGGGAGTTGGTTGGCAAAAATCCATGTCGTCTGTCGAACTTTTTGGGCAGGATGTAAAGTCCGCAGCAATCAAACGGGCACCAAAGAAGTACTCCCAACTGGTTTCACAATCGAGGAAAGTTGCTAATATCCTGGGCCAGATGTTTAAGGATCTTGGAGGCCTGGCATTTGATTCGAACCATCAGATGATGCAGCAAAACGTCATTTGGCTCGAGTGAATTCGGTCAACCGCTACAACCTTACGATTGCGCACCTCATATCACATTCACTTCACATGGGTTCTTCAACGCCCCCCATGTTGATAGTGGTGACGCCTCTCAATGGGCATTCGCGCTCTTTGTTCCCACTCATGTTGTGGACGGGACATTGGCTAGCGTTAATGATGGATACAACGTGACTGGAGGGAGATTTGTTTTCCCGGACCATGACTGTTGTATCGATTTCGACCAAGCGAGTGTTGTGAAACTCATTTGGGCGGCAAACAAGGTCAAACATTGTACTCTACCTGCAACCAAGTCACCAAAGTTCACCAGGATGGCACTATCAATGCAAATACCAACGAAGTCATCGAGTACTTGCAGTGCAATCAGGTCAGGTCTAATATATCTCAGGAATTCCTACAGGAACAAGAAGAACACATATATTGGTGGTCATCGTGTGATCATGAACCGATTGAGGTGTATGTTCTATACCTCCCACTTTCATTGCCCCTTCAAGTACTGACATGATAAGCATTGATAGTGTACTCCCCAAAAGGTAGCGCTGGACAATGAAGCAGAGTTTGACGGGTCTAATAAAACACGCTTATCTTAGTTCCAGTTGTCACTCAAGGTTGTTATCAATCGTCCGCGCCTTCAGATGAGAAGAGCCCGCTTCAGAGTAATCAATATAATTGAGGCCGAGTTCAAAGAAAATCAATAAATTTTGAATCGAGCTATCTGTATGGCAGAATTTGGTAGTTGCTAGACAGGGTGTTAACATGAGCCCACCCAGGCACAACTCAAAAAGCTGAGTCCGGTCAACCTAAATTTCTTGTCTGAGATCACTCCTCACAAATCAAGCTCCTTGGCCAATACATGGTACATTCGTTGACCCTGTCAATCAATGGTAGCGGCTACTTCCATTTGGGCGTCAACCATCAGGGTGCGTGAGAGTTTGAAACTAGGGTCTGTTACCTTGCAAATGCCGCCCCCATTGATCCGTCTGGAGAGTGATATTTAATAAAAAATTGAGGCGGAGTCTATAAAAGGAGAGCTAACCGCCACTGTTTTTCTGTGATAGTTGAAGATTCACCAATAAACGAGTTACTTCGCAACTTCATCATGACAATTCAAACCGGATCCCTCCACACCGTTCGTAACCGCCAGTTAACGCCGAGGCGAGATTACTTATGTTTCAGTGGTCAATTCAAAGGAGAATTGGGTGTGAGTTAATCTCAATCATTACATTGCTGACAGTTTAAACTGACTTCAGCAGCCTTTCTTGCAAGCGCGGCCCAATCAAGGGCCTCTAGAGATGATGAAAAGTTCGGTTTACACGTCGGGAAAATGGAAGACTGGCCCAGGCCAAACTACTATCAATGTTACATGTGCATATCACGAAGACTTTGCCCTGTCCGTGGGGGGTCCGCAACGGTACAACGGCAAAATCACTAAAATGGACAATGATTCTGTTTTGAGTTTTCAATTATCAGATGGCGAGACCATTGAAAATGTGGGACAGGAGAGGGGCCGGACTCAGGGTGTCACCATCGATGGGGTGGGATCAATTGTCGAATCATGGACAAAAGAGGTTGAACAAGGAGCAAACAGTAAAACATCCTTTGTGGTTGTTGAGCATGATGTCAATGTAAGTCTCCCGTGACCCTTTGCTTTTCCTCTGCTGACAAGTTTTGCAGAACAATACTGTTGATGTGATCACAGTAACATACGTCTTTTCGGAAAATTCGGTAATAATGCCGCCGCGGGTCAAATTCAATGTGGGAGACAAGATTTGGATAATGGGCCAACTGGAGTCAACTGGCGATGGATCAGATGGGTTGATAATTGAGGTGAGCTATTTCTTGATCACTTGTGGGAGCACTGACTTATGCTATGGTGCGCTCAGGCCTCACAGGGAATACAGTTCAACCGTTGTGAATGACACGTCGGGATTCCAGTTCAATCGGTGACAACCAGCCCAGGCTTAGGCTTTATATTGTTGCTTAAACCAAACCAAATCGAATTTATTGGTTATACCTAGATCAGACATGTGACACACATGAGCATTGTTAGATCAAGCAAGTTTTCATTATGTCTTGGCTGCACTGTTGTTCAAACTGATCACCTTGTACATGCAGTTTAAAGTAGTCCAATATTCCTTTACTCTGCCTTGGCAATGCAGTCCTAACATGATTGTCGTTGAACATTTGACAATAGTTTGACCAGAGGTCTGTGTTGAATCAGTCCTAACATGATTGCCGTTGAACATTTGACAACAGTGTGACTAGAGGTCCGTGTTGAATGAGAGATGAGGGCAGGAATGGATCGAGCTCAAGAAAATCTCATACTGCAGTGGGTTGGTATGTGGGTGGTTACATAAATAGATGATCAGCGATCGTTGACCCTTGATGGTTCCAGTGATATCTTCAGTAATCTTCTCTAGGTATTCTGGTCTCAACACACCGCAAGATTTCAACTCCGATTTACACTTGGCTGGCCAAGACATAACTGCAACGTTCTCCTATTCTATTTCGACTCCATATTTACCTAATTAATTGATCAGCTTTACTCGCAAGATTTCAACTCCGATTTACACTTGGCTGGCCAAGACATAACTGCAACGTTCTCCTATTCTATTTCAAGTCTATATTTACCTAATTAATTGTTCAGCTTTACTTTCAACTCCCCAACAGCATTCAACCTGGGCGTTGATAAACGCACGCCTTCCCCTTCCCCGCACGCCCACGCCCCCGCCCCTCGGAATCCTTTTTTCGAGGGAAAACAGGATTCCGAGGGGCGGGCAGATGAACCCGCCCTTCCTGACGAGGTGAAGGGAGAACTTTATTCTCCCCTCACTGATGTAAGCAAAACTTGCGGTAAAGGTTGAGGACTCCTTTATCAACGCACAATCAACCTCTCTTAAAAATCATGCTAGCATATCAAGAGCAGTAGCGGTGCCAACTGAAGCCGACAACACGAAACATGAAAACTCTGGAGTGCGCTTTATCTGGCAGAATACACCGAGACTAGTGCCCCTGCACGATTTAGTTCCGCGACCGTGCGGCGTGACGCTCTAGATGGATAGAAACAGGCTAGCGATGCGCTGACATCCTCTATCCTCTATCAAT